ACACCTAAAAGATGTGGAAAAGCCAAAGAATGAGCTTTGGTTGGAGAAATCCACATTTTTAATACACAAAACTTCTAATTCTACTTCCCAGTCACCTATAACACTCCCATTTCAACCTTTCTTCCTCTTGCCTCACCATTGCCCCTGCCCCAAAAACTACCAACGGGATGAGACTCATTACCAGAGTTTTCTGGGCCAATGGTAGTCGGGGTAGTGAGAAGTTGGTATGAATCCCCAGCCCAGTGATCCAGAAGGGACCCCAGGGAAAACCCCATGTGAAGAATTTGAGTTACTCCATTCTTACAGAGAGGAGGACTGAAAAAATTTTTATTACCGAATTCATTCTTGGGTCTCTACACAAGTCAAGTTTTACAGAGAGTTGGAAGGCCAGAGATGAGCACAACACCTCTCTAGAACCACTGAACTGTGTTGATAGCCTGAGAGCAATTTGACAGCCCACAGAGGCCCTGGAATCTACTTATGCCTCTTATCCCAAGGGAACATGAATCCATGTTTTCCCTGAGTCACTAGTTTGGATACAAGACATCTCTAAAAACCCCCCAGTAGCTGCCTCTCCTGTCTCTGAAGATCAGAGGTACGTGTTCGGGGGACATATTTGTACAACAAATGCACACATCCTGCCATCGTGTCTACCTTGGGGATCTGTTTCCAGTGGGAACACTGGGTGTCCTGGTACAGCTGACTACGGGTGACCATCTGGTTACCTGGGACTGAGGGGTTCCTGGGTGATGGAACATTCTGTTTTAAAACCAAGCAAACTGGGAACTTTAAAACGAGGTAAACCAGTTAGCTTCTCCCTTACAGCATTCCTCTGGCTGCTGGGACATGGCTCCAGGTAGAACTCAGTGATGACCAAATGACCAAGCATCCTGACCCCGGAAGCCATCTTCCCTGGATGGAGCGTGTATGCCACCCTGCTCCTGTGGCCAGCCCTGAGCCCAGGTGCACGCACACTGAAACGTTTCCTGCCGATCTCTGGCCTAAGGCCTTCGGAGAGACAATCAAGGCCTGCCGGTGCCCCCGGCTAGAGCTGGGTGAAATCAGTCTCTGTGCTGCGCCCCAACCCTGCCTGCTGGCAGCCTGAGGTGCCTGGCAAATCGAAGCTAGTTTGACAAACACCTTCCAGTGAACCTCCCTCCCACGGGTAACTCCTCTCAGTCCTTCCCCAGCCCACCTGGAGAAGCCTTGCTTACCATGAGGGAGAAAGGCAGCCAGCATGAGGCCAGCCAGAAGGCCCCTGTGTGCCATCTTCCAGCAGAACGCATCCAGTAGACAGACCCAGGTCACCGCCCATCAGCCACTGTGCACGCTGCCCTCCCCCACCTGGCCCACGGGGCCCGGAAAAGCACAGTGGGGGAGGGACTAGAAGATGTCTGCTTCTCCACTGTTAGCCGTTGATGATGGAAGACGGAGCAGGGGCAAGCCAGGGTGGGGGAGGCAGGAAGCAGGTGCACACGGCTCTTTCTCTGAGCAGGAGCTTGGGGGTGAGGCGGAGGGGACAGCAGAGAATATGGAAAAGGTTGCCTGGACTTCTAGGAGGTGAAAGGAGGTTTAGGGTAGCCTTTCCAGAACCACCGATGGAAAATAAGAACTTCGGCCCCTCTGTGGGCAAATAACTGCATGTACGCACCACCTAAATCCACACCTCTCAAAGGCCCTTGAGAGAAGCTGTGAGCCCAGTCATGCCAGCCATCCCAGCTGGGTTGGGATTATGCCTGGTCTCTTTCTCTTTCTTTCTTTCTTCTTTCTTTCTTTCTCTCTTCCTTTCTTCCTTTCTTTCTTTTGTTCATTCATTCGTTCTTTCTTTCTTTTGTTCTTTCTTTTTTTTCTTCCTTCCTTCCTTTCTTTCTCTTTCCTTTCTTTTTTATAAAGAGAGATTTTTGCTATTGGGCATGTGCACTCGTTGGAGATAGAGAAAGAGAAAACGAGAAATCATCCCCCACGGGGATGGCCATACCGCAATCCCTTCTCCTCCATTCTCCTCTCAGGATCTTGGGCACGCACACACATAAACCCAGTGTGTTTTAGGCTGCTGGGTCCGGGACTCGAACCACAGTTGACTCTGTGGGAGCCCAGTGATGTAACCATTAGGCCATCTGCTGGCCCCTGTGACTGGTCTTTCTCCAGACACTTCATTGGACAGCCTGGGATTCCTGATCAAGCAGCTCTTGCCAGTAGGAGGTCACACATTAGAGGCCCCCAGCCAGAGAGCTGAATCCTGGTGTCCTGAGTAGTTGTGGAATTTTTCACAACTTGATTCTTAAAGGTTTAGACAAAATTCTTGCCTGGTGGCCCAGCCACAGTGGCACAGCACTGACATAGTACCCTGCAAGCTGGAGACAACATGGCTGGTTATGGGTTTAGATCCCAGGTGGGCCAGAAAACACACAGGGAGTGTCCAAATCCTGAGGGGCTGGAGGGCTGGGGAAAGGGGGGTCATGGCTGATGAGACCCTCCACAAATCTGTCTCTCACTCTCTTGTGCACATACACCTGCTCTCTACTATTAGATATATAACTATGTTTAAATATAAATGTGTATAAATGGCAGTTAAGGCAGCCATCCCACATGGCTGACCATGCAATTTGAGTCTCAGACTTGGTGGCTTAAGAAACATGCCAGGCACATGTGCATGTGTGCCCAAAATCCCTAAAGGAGGGAGAATGGAAAAGGATGCAGTGTGACCATGCCCCATGGAGGGTGCTTTCTTACTTTCCCTCTCACTACCTCTCTCTCTGTCTCTCTCTAGTGCGTGCATATGCCCCTGGCAAAATTTTAAACCTAAATAAAAGTTTGCATGGTGCATAACATGTTGAATGTGCTCACTAGGAGGCAGTTATCAACAACAGTATAATTGAGTCCCAGGCAGATTTCAGCCTCCCCAAGAGGCAAATGGACTTGTTCCCCCAGGCCTGTAGGGACCCAAATACCCCCTCCTGCTGCAGGTGGACTGGCGCATACCTGAGGACAGACTCCTGTCTGTCTTGCTCACTGCAGTGTCATGTGCGTGGCATGTAACAGAAACATTGTCATTTTGTTGTCACCAACTTACTAAGGGAGATGGGGAACTGAGATTCCAGAAACTCAAGCCCAGCCCTGGCCCCTGGAAATGTGCCGGTCCTGTCTTGGTGGAAGTGTCCAATCTATTCTTGTCTGGAATACTTCCAGACAGGCCCCTCTGGATGATCTCAAAAGAACAGCAAAGGTACCAGCAGTTGGTGTAATAGCTGTTGCTGAACTCCCATGTAGTCGACCGCGGTTTGAGTCCTGGACCCGGTGGCTTAAACTCACACTGGGCACGTGTGTGGGTGTGCCCAAGATCCCGAGAGGAGAATAGAAGAGAAGGGTTTATGGCATGGCCATTCTCCCATGGGGGTCATTTCTCACTTTCTATCTCTCTGTCTCTGTCTTTCTGGTGAGTACACGTGCCCTATAGCAAAAACCTCCCCCCGCCAAAGAAGAAGAAGAAGAAAGAAGAAGGAGGAGGAGGAGGAGGAGGAGGAGGAGGAGGAGGAGGAGGAGAAGAAGAAGAAGGAGTGAAAACATCCCTGAGTGGAAGCCTGAATTAGGGTGGCTGTCCATTGAGACCTCCAGCCCCAATATGTTAGAGTCCAACTTCATTTCCTTAGATTCAGCAACAAAGTCCTGGCAACACCTGATGGCAGGGACATTTATCTCCCCCATGAAGAAAGGGCCCCAGGTCCATCTCCCATGCAGCATCCAAAGTTGTTCTCTGTGCATAGGCTGTCTCTACATAGGCATCTACCACTCCCTCCTCCTCTCCACCTCCGCTCTCTGCTCCTTAACAGAAAAGCAAGAGACACCTGCAACCGCAGCCCCACTGCAGTGCCTGCTGCCCACACTTGCAGCTCTGGGTCCTTCTGGCAGGGCTAGGCCCAAAGGGTGCTGGGCGGAGCCAGGCTAGCGGCTGCACAGGCTGGCTGGCTGCTGAGGGCTGCTCTGCACTTCTGCAGAAGAAGGACAGTGGCCGACATGGAGCAGGGGAAGGGTCCGGCTGGCCTTATCCTGGCTGTCATTCTTCTTCAAGGTAAGAGCCGGTTAGGTGGTCTGGAAGCCAGGGAGAGCACTCAAGGGCAGAGACCATCACCAGGGAGACAGGACTAGTGGGATCCCTAACTCTGAGCCTACCTCAGATGTCACCTTTAAAAATTTAAGCATGGGGGGGTGGACAAAATGAATCTCTTACTTTCTCTGCTGAAGAGAAGCAGTGTGCCACGGGAGAAAGGTGGCCCTCGTCTCTAAGAACTCAAAACAGTGGACTTAACTGGCTAGACAGAGGACCCTGCTGCCGCCGCCATCTTAGGTCTGAACACAGCCCCAAAGGGCAGAGACCAGGAAATGGAAATGAAGAGGTACGTGCTCCCCAATTCAGAGCTGGAGCCAGCAGTACCCCCATGGAGCAGGCACTGATGCAATTGCCATTTACTCAACTGGTCAACAAATAAAGGTGAGATCCCGACATGTGATGGGTTAGGAGGACAGAAAAACAATGAAGGGGAGCGGAACTGTGGCAGAGCAGTGAAAGGCAATGCTGTGAGGCCAACCCACATGGGAAGGTTCTGGATTCACTTGTAGAGACCTCTCTTAAGTGCATTCGGCAGACACACGCCCATGATCTGGGGCTGGTTGAGGCTGGAGGTTTATCATGGTGTCAATCCCTACTCAGGTGCTGTTTCTCTCTCTGTCTCTCTCTCTCTCTCTGTCTCTCTGCAATCTACATACATTGCGGAAGCTTAAAAAAAAAAGAGTTGTTGAAAATCATGAGTACCGTGTAAGATATGAGGAAGAGGGTGATGAAGGTAGAACTATGAAGACACCAACTTTTTTATTTCTAATTTGCTATGGGGCGTATGCACTCACCAGAGAGAGAGAGCACCCCCCAGGGGGGATGACTGAGTCATACTCCCTTCTCTTCCATCCTCCTCTCAGGATTTTGAGCACACACACACACACACACCCAGTGTGCTTCTCAAGGCACAAGGTCTGGGACTTGACCCATGCAGTCAGCTGTGGAGGATCCAGTCACCTTAACCACTATGCCACCTGGCTGGTGTTTTGGTGTTTTTCCATGGAGATCAAGGGAGAGAGATTTTCTGGAATGACAAAATTACCAAGAGTAAGAAATGTTAAAGAGAACCCACTAATATAAGAATATATTTTTAAGATTAAGTCTGAAGGATTTGGTAAAATATAGGTCATGGGTGAATTAGAACAGTTTTAGTGAGGTAGTATGGGTGGAAGTTAGTGATAAAGAGCCACAAGTATAGACAGTATTTTAAGGAAATTTAGATGGCAAGGGAGGAAAAGGCAGAGGGTGTTTTTGAGGGTGACAGAAACTTGACCCCATTTCCTGGCTAAAGAAGAGAGGGTGGGCAGAGCGAGGTGCTGGAGCTGGTGTTGGAATGGCAGAGTCAAGAGCAGAGGCCAGGGCACAGAGGAGAAGGCAGCCTTACCCTCAGAGACCAGGCAATTGAAAGTGCAGATGGCTTTAGCCACAGAAAGGTTCATAAATAGAAAGGAAGCTGAAGAAGAACGAGCCATATCAGTATCTGTGTGCTTGAAAAAGCGAGGTGGGTCTGGCCTGGTGGTGTGATTAGCAGTAAACTGAATTACAGTGCTGGAAGCCACATGGCCAACCACAGTCTGGATCCCCAAGTTAGCTTGAAAATACACTGTGTATGCATGTGCCTAAGATCCTGATGAGCTGGAGAGCTGGGAAAAGGAGGTGATGGGGTGGTGAGACCCAGCTGACGGTGCTTCTCTCTCGTGCATGCACACATGTTCTCTGTGATGAATAAAATAATCAATCCTTTGGGCCAACCTCCTCCAGAGGTTAAGGAGGCTGGATCCCACTTGGCCTCCAACCCTCTCCCATAAAGGAAAGTAATGTCAGTGATCGCTTCAATCTCCTTTCTTGTGGAATCTGAGTTAGAATGAGGATTTCATGGTTTTTTTTTTTAATAAAATCATTCTTAATTAAAGAAAAATACAAGGTAAGGCTACAAAGCAGTATGAGAGATTTTCTTTTTCCTCTGTCACTTGTAAACTGGATTAGAAGGCAGTCCTCAGAATTTCAGAAATGTTGTGGAAATACTGCCATTTAATTTACAATCAGGATAAATTATACATTAAACTAAGAGTCAAGGGATCAGCGTTCTGGTTGCTAGCCTGCACAATGCAATCTTGAAAAATGTTTCCAACTTCTTGATACCAGAAGCACCATCACAGAATGAAAGAGGTTATATCAGATCATCTTGAATATCCTTTCCAGCGCTGTTATTTTGTAGTGCTGTGAATTCAGAGTAACATGTTCCAGGCTGTTTGGGCTCAGGGATTTTAGAGCCTTATTCAATGTAGTATACTTTTTTTTTTTTTTTTTTTGGA